TGACCAAATGTTAACAGATTGTTTTCTGATGCATCATCGAGTAATTTTGCCCTGTATTTGATAAACTCTGTAATCGCTTGATGCTGATAATTAGATACAAATTGAAAGATTTAGAAGGAAAAAGCTTTTCAAAAACCTTTGTAATAACTTCGCCAACTTTGGTCGCCATTRTACTATAATTGTGCGCGCAGACTTGGTCATCGGTTTAATTCGTTAGTTCAGTCGTGCGCATGTAAACCAGGTAAAACCAGTTTGACTAGCCCCAAATTTTTGGCGACGGCGACTTCACAGAAAAGACAAGAAAAGTCTCCTTTTTTTCTCCCGCCCGTAGAGGAGGTAAAAGGAAACTCCGCGCGCAGGGTATTTTTTTCCAGTGGATTCCCTTTTGTTTTTGTTTTTTTCAGTACAATTGTCAACAAATGAAATCCCCAAGTAATTTACCGAGCTATTAAGCATTTGGTGCATCAAAGCATAGTTAATATTAACTATGATCAGAGATCAGGTGGTGATTGGCTGATTTTGCACATGTTTTTCCTGGGTATACGCAGTAGCAAAAGTATGTCACTATTGATTTTTGGCTTAATTGTGTTCGGGAGGGAGAAATGATGTCATAATTTATAAATATTTTATCGTGAAAGCGAAACAGCAACGATAACAGAAACGCTTTGTTTTGTATTTATTTGGCCAGAATGGGAAGTACAGCTGGCATAGGTTGACATGGGTTCAATTTCCGGACTTGGTGTCCTACATAAGTAGAGTTGCTTATTGTTCTTGTCTGTGCTTCGGTCTTTCTCATTTTCCCCATTCATTAATTCATCCATCTSTCCGTCGATCCATCCCTCATTTTTCGCTGAAGCAACTGAGATCTACGGCTGGGAAACATTGCTTTCAGGAATGGAATAGTGCAATTTATGCATACAAACAGCCGCCTGAGTCAATTATTTAATATTTGTATTGCAGATTAGCTAAAGTTCCTTTCAGATGTTAAAAATTAAATGACATTTTTGGTATTTAAATCAATGCGTTTTTAAGAAAATATATTTTAAGGATAAGAGGATAACTGAGAACGTTCGTGAATTTAACGAGTTCTCAAGAACAAAAGACATGTAAAAACCGGCTTGTGAAGCAAATAAGCGTAGAGAAAGACAGACAACGCGGCTTAAAAGTGAAAGAAGAGGAGTTCTTACGCGTGACTTTAGAAAGATGCCAGGTTGTCAGTCATATTAATTACATAAGTTCAAGCAGTACAGAAAGTGTGTAAAGCTTTTAAGTTGTGACGTATTTCCAGGTCCAATAGCTCAAGAAAACTGCTTTTATAACACAAAATCCTCCACCAAAATCAATTAGAACTTTGGACAACGAATCCGGTCATGACTGAAATTAATARAAATTACATATCAGTACAAATTCAAGGTAAACCAATCAGAATCGAGGATTGAACATTATGTTGTGATTTGCATTTCCCATGATTCTTTAATGGTGTAATGGTAGTTTGATCAACACGAGATGATAGAGACCTTTTTTAAGACCTTGGACATCTATTCACAGGTCTCTTTCATTACGAGCTCACCGTTCGTCTCGCTTCGATGCAAAGGCCCGGCTACCTTTCAAGATGGCGCAGGGAACCGTGAAGGGGAGTATTGGTGAAGGCGAACGACTTGTAGAGTGAGGTCTAAAATATTTTTCAAAAATAATGTGCCACTTTCCTCCTTTCCCCAGCAATGTTGGTCTATGTAGTTTTTTTTAGCCTATGAAGCGGTTGTCTGGTAAAATGCATGCAAGACAACAATTTATGATTTATGATAATATTTCATTCATAGTTTTAAATTATTGAGTTTGAAGGACAAGGCAACGGTAACTAAGAAGAGGTGGTGTATCGTTAGGATGGTTAATAAACACCAGAATTTCTTGGATGGTTTTATTCCAACGCTTGACCATCCATGTGACAGGAATTTTACATCATCATAAMTTAACACAGGGAACCCAAACACGGACTTTAAGGTTTCTACTTTACAGACGGAAAAGCAATGCTAGTCGCCACAAGAACAGTCATGAATTAGCTGAATATAAATCTAGATGCTAAATGTAATACTTACTGATTGTCACCCTCCTTTTTTGGACATTTTTAGTACGAGTACGAACGACTGCCGTGGAATATTTGGCAAATTTTTCATTATAAAAGAAAGCTAGATTGCAAGCGCCATGACACTCTTTATTGGTAATACCGCTGATCGCTCGTCACATTCCCCATTCCCCATTCCCCATTCCCCATTCCCTGTTTTAGTAACATCCCAGCGAAACTCGGTCTATGGAGATTTTGCTGTCTAAGCGATTAAGGAATTAGGGAATTCTAAAATCTTGAGAACCAAGAAAACAAACTCATTGTTTGACGTTTGGCGAGCTACGAAGCATGTGGAGGAACAATAGGGATAAACACTCCCACACCAACCTTTCCACACATTATTTATAAAACCATGCTGGGTAAAACGTTTGGCGGAAACTTTAAGGTAGTACCGGGAATAAGAATTCACTTGGGAAATTTTTAAAAATCCATTCATTTTTCAAGATTTTCAGTTACCTATTCAAAACCGCAGGAGGAAAATGTGGGTCACCGCATTAGTTTTCGAGTTGTAAGATATCGTGTTAGGGGGTAATTCCAATTATTCATATTGATCTTTCTCTATTATATACGGATTCAAAGTTTGTGTGTAATGTAAAGGTTTTTATCGATAAAAAGTCTTGACTATACCAAATGACCAATTTTAAGTTTATCTAACATATGATAAGTAGTTCCTTGGAGAAGCATAATAATAAAAGGACAGCTATAGGAAACATATAGTTTTTTACCTCACGACGTTTCGTTGTCATCATGACTCTATTAAAATGTTGTTTATACGAGAAAAAATACCTTCTCTAAATGTTCAGTGACTCTATCAAGGCCAAACAATTTACATAACAATACCTTTTGTTTTTTTTACATGTAATTATAAGTCAATTCGATTGATCTTAAACTGCTGTACACTTGAAACTCACTTGATAATGGAGTCATGATGACACCGAAACGTCGTGAAGTAAAAACTATACGTTTCCTATAGCTGTCCTTTTTATCTAGCATATGATGTTATAAATTTAATCATTGAGGAGCTGTAGGTAAGGTTCAAGCAAAACTTCGAAAATATCTAATCAAAATTTTAAAAGTTAGAAAATCCCTGTGCAGCTGAATGTTTCTATCCATGATTTTATTGATGAAATCCCTGAGGATGGAGAGAAAGTTGGCGTCAAAAAAGCGCGTGCTCCTACCCAGTCCACTGGTTAAGACGTCTTGCTACGTCACTGAACAAAACTTCAGCTTGTTTTTTTTCCTTATTTAGTTTCTTTTGTTCTCTTCTTATACTAGGTGTGTGTATACAAGCAAGGGCGGATCCAGGGTTTCTTGAAGGAAGGGTCTCAGGGGTAAATTTTGTGGGCAAAGGAATCCCAGTCGCATTTTTACCACAGGAAGCAAATTTGACCTCAGGAATGACAGGGGGGTCGTGACACCCCCGACCCTCCCCCTGGATCCGCCCTTGACAAGTATTGAGCAACAGCAAGTAAATTTATTAATTTATTGACATACATTCAAAACATATTATGTATTCTAAGAATTTATGAAATAACTACCTTTATTTCTTTTTAAGAATGAGTCACTGATTACATTGTAACTTGTCTTTAAACCTTTTCCAAAAACTATATAACTTTTTTTAAACACCTCTACTACTTAACACTTATCTAAAATATACGAAGTCTTCTTCTTATGTATTCTCTGTTGCACAGGGTTCTGTAAAAGTCTACAAATCAAAAGTGTTTGTTATATTGTGTAAGCTTTGTATTTGTTTTAGTTTATCGCTGGTATTTTTGAATATTCTGACGATGAAATGAGGTTAACATTGAGTGAATGAGTCTGTAATTAAGGAACACATTTACAAACTCAAAAAGAAACAAAGCAGCAGGTCCTGGTGAATATTCTCAGAAATTATGAATGTATGCCTCTTAGACTAAAGAGTTGGTGAAACTGTTTGAAAAAATACCTTGTTAATGATTTGACTCGTCCTCCGGCTGCATTACGCGATGACCCTTCGTAGTATAGCCAGGCAGGGGATCCGTCTACAGGCAAAATCAGGCATTTTACGTGAATTATTTTATAATATGGAGAAATATATCGTTTTAACTATATGAATGGTATGATAAGATGGATGTATTGAGCGAGAGTTGGAGGGTTGGAGGGTTGAGGGAGGGTGGGATATATTATAAAAAGTGTTATGCTTACCTCGTCATGTTCTACTGGTATGTTCGGCTGAAAAGAAAGAAAACATGTATACGTCAACACTCAAGATGACAGAAAAAATGGCCTTGAGTGATATCTATAAGATCAAAATTACAAATTAAAAGTATTTTAGAATTTACTAATCGACGTCGTGTGTCAAGAGAAATGCAAAGAGAGGCATTCATCAATACTCAAAATGACAGTTAAATATAAGTATACTCATTTTTATATTGATGAAAAGAAAAGAACGAATAAAAAGTACAATTAACACTCCACTAGTCCAGTTTTTAATTGGATGGAATCAGCATAGCTAGTGTATATGGAAAACGGCCACCAACTACACCAACTACACTAGATATTCTTGTTTTAACGGCAACTAGTACTCTTCCTTTTCCATCTGTACCAGGTACTCTAGCTTTATTATCTACTTCAGCTGCTCTTACTTTACCATGGAAGTTTTTTTTTATTACCACATACCATGATTGTGGTAATTAATTAGTGATTTATTAGTTGATGTAAATTAAAGATTATGCATTTCACAAAATAACTAAGGTATTAATAATGTAAAAAGGAAATAGATTAGAAATACCCAAACTATATATAAAAAATAATGATTTATAATAAATACTAAAAAACACACAAAATAGACTAAAAAGGCAAAAAGACATAAAAGGAGCATCTTAGAAAAGTATGCATTGTTTGTTAATATATTATTATTAAAAGATTAGCAGAAGGTAAATATTGAGGTTAATTGCTATTGTATGATAAAACATGCTCAAAATAATTATGAAAAGCAAAAGGTACTTTGTTATTATCATATTCGTACATAAAAAAGAATTTTGTAAATAAATAATTAATATCTTTAGATTTAAGAACATTTAAATAAATAAAGAAAGGAAAGGCATGTTCATCGTACCTAGAAAAGGAAATGATTTTCACAGCCATCTCTTGTAAGATTAAAATTGATTGTAAAAGAGGGAGGGATATGTATTGCTCCACACCAATAGACAGTTATCATGAGTGATACATAATATCTTAATTTAGATAAAATACAAATAGTTCTAAAATCTTCTTGCATAAATTCCTAATATGTGGTTTCCATCTAAAGTTTGAGAATACCCAGGTATTTGACATAGTTCTTTTGTTCAATTAGCTTATCCTTAATTAAAAGGATGATATTATAGCTAAGCTTTTTTTTTCTGAGGGGAATGAAAGATGATTAACGTAATCTTATTGGCACATTTAACCATCTCATGGATGGTTGGATGATTAGATGGATGTATTGAGGAAGGGGAAAGTGGAAAGGTTGGAGGGCTGGAGGGCTGGAGGGTTGGAGGGTTGGGCGAAAGAAATGCTTTAAAAAATCGGCAGAAACTTTCTCTCTGGTGTACTTTATATTTAGCACACGTCTTTACRAATTTTACTATAKAWAGTAACATWTATAWGACAAARAAGAAAGGATGTTGCTTTGATAAAGCATATTAGTGCTTACCTGTCTTTGAATTGCATTAAAGTCACCATTAAAAGAATTGGCGTTGACAGACGATGTCGAAGAATTTGCTGGTGCATTGTCGTTTGCAATTGGTTCCTAAGGAAATGTTAAACACATGAAAAGTAAATAAAAAGCACTTCCAATACAATACAATACAATACATCTTTATTCACATTTCTTTTTTATGTTAAATTACATTAAATTATATATTTAGATCATTGAAAAGAAAGAAAATACTCATTTGGTCAAATAAATAAAGCTAAATATAAGTGCGTAATGAAAGGAAATGTCTAGAGCCTAAATAAACCATATAGTTTCCTAGTTAGGTCCTAGTCACGAGAAAAAAAAAAATTAGATAATGTACAAACAATAGACAAACAACGGTTAAAACAACTGCCAACCCGGTCATGTATTAGATGGTACATAAAATTGCTTTAGTAATAGGTGCTGCTTAAGTTTTTTGGAATTTGCTGCCCAATTTGCTGCAACAATAGATTCCCAAAGCTGATGCTGTTTTTTTATTAATGTTGGTTCTGAAACGTGCAAATCTAGTGTTGTGGGAGTGGATTTCGCTTGCATATCGAAGTAGTTGTCAAAGAGGCATGGGAGCTGCTTATTATGCCATTGGCATGAAAACTTAAGTAACTGAAGTGTAAATATATTTTCTACTGTAAGGATCTCAAATAGGTTTAATAGCGGAAGTGCGCTCTCCGTATTTTTACCGATCCGGCAATATAGTTATCAGAATTAGCGTGAAGCTCAAGTGATCAAGAGAGGCTTTTCTTTCAGTCCGAAATCAATTTGATAACAAAAAACAACAATACCGTTTCTTTAACATGAATTGGGAAGCAAAAAATATTAAAAAATGGATCTTTCTTTACCATTTTAAGTTTTTAGCATCCTTTCATCAAATTACTTATTCTTGTTAATTATTGCAAATACAAAATGGCGGCTACTGACTCGGAATAGAACGGTAATAATGTGCATGTTCTATGTATGGGTTTTTTGAGAACAGATAAAATTAGCATTTTCAAAATTAGCAAATTCATAAATCATCATTTACTGAAAATTAAAATAAAAAGGACTACCAATTTGAATTTTTTATATGACATGATCTAAGTGACTTCTAGGCCCTAATAAAAATTTAGTCAAAAATATACATTTTTATGCAGGAATAATATGCTCAAATATGGAGGTTCCGAAGTACAGACCATATGATTTTCAGTCATAGAAGTTAGGCATTTTTTTGGCATTTTCGTATGTCAACAATGGAGCTTGTCTTCCAACCACACATGTTCGTATCGAACTGTTTTCTCTTCCCAATCGCTGGATTGCTTAAAAAAAGGCTGAAAACTTATAGTATTGATGTATAACTGATATGCAATACATATTCCTTCAGAAGTATAGGTCATTTGATTTTCAGCCGTAGAAGTTATATATCTTAAATATGATATTATTATTTTTTGATATTATTTTCAATCAAATTTTAAAATTGTAATGAGAAATTTCGGTAAAAATTCTGAATCTGTGAGAAATATTTACGAACATGAAAATATATCAAATGAAGATGTATCAAGATGACTTTAAGAATCTATGCATCGTTCATGGAATAAACGTTAAGTGCCTTTTCATCATTCCCGATAAACAAAGAATTAAAATCAAATGCAGTTGTAAATATCTCTTGAAAACTAAGAAGAGAGTTGTTTAAATTTACATTATAGATGAGCTGCTTCAATAACTTAAAAAATTTAATTCATAATTTTAAGGTACGTTGTTCAAGCAGTTTATCTAGAAATTAAAAACAGCGTTTGGCAGCTCGACAGTTAAAGTAATGTTGAATGAAAAAAAAAAWTTTTTTTCACTTAGGGACTGTTCATTAATTATGCTTCAGGGGGGGCTGGTGGAGAAATCAAAGAAAACCTTGGAAAAAATAATGCTGTAAGTAGATATGATCCTTTCTGGCAAGAGAAATACTCTTCACTTTTTTTTTTAATTTCTATCGTCTTCGGAGCCAGGATCAGATCTAGCAAGAATTCGTTTGCAAGAAAAATGGATTCGATATTTTAAGCCTTCAAAGCATCAGAAAACGTGTTAAATTTGAAAAAGCATACTTTTAAAATAGATATTTCCTTCTTAGAAGAAAGGATCCCTTTAAGCAAACGATATGTAAAAGTCTTGCTTTGAGGTTTTGAAAAATATAGGCTTACATTCAGTTCTAATTCACAAGAATAAGAGACATATTTATCAATGCAACACAATTATTTTCTTTGCAGTAATCAACCTTTGTAGATGTTCTGGAATATTCTTTTTTGCTTATTGACTGAAAGACCCAAAATCTTAAACACGAACATGTCCTCAACTGACAAGCAACACAAAATAAGCGCGCTTATTTTGTGTAATAATACTAGCTGGAAAAGCTAAATTAATGGAAAATATTCATAATAAATTATTAATAAGATTATAGAAAGAAATTCTCTTTCGATTCGCCGATCCGAAAAAATATATAACTATTTTTTTCTATAATGAAAAATTTTGCATTCAGAACTTATGATTTATTATGTATGGAAATATTAACTATAGAAAGAAAGTCGTCTTTGATTCGCTGATCCGAACAAATATAGAAAAAAAATTTTCTTAAATAAAAACGATTCTTAAACATTACTTTTTGATCCTACATTACTGCATGAAAATGTTTTGCTGCTGATCTTGACTTTAATTTTGTTCCAAAGCGATGTGTTCTATTTGAGAGTTTTGGTTTCAATGCAATCCTTGTGGTGTGTACAAGGACAGACGGAAGTGATGTAATCAAGCCTTGAAAAATCAACTCGATGGGCAAGCAATTWTTCTTAAGTATTGTATCTTYTCGCGCGGAAAYTCCGCTTTAAAATGTTTTCGACTTACTTCATCATGTTCTGTCGGTTGATTCGGTCGCTCTCCACCATGAATGTCAATGTTTTGCTTAAGAAAGAGAAAAAACATTAGCAATGCAAAGACGAGAACAATTAAAGAGAGACCACTGTAAATCCGTGAAACACTAATTACTAAATAGTACAAAATAGTGCTAGTTAAACAATAGAAAACGATGGAATTTGCATTAAATTGTGCTAATTAGTATTACTAAAGTTTCACGAAATAAAGTCAGAATAATTTTGAAATAGGTGACAGCTAATTATAATATAACCAAAGGGTTGACCTGGATAATTAGTTCATTAGAGTAAACAAATATATAATAATTATTATGCAGGATCACAAGACAAATTAAATATATATCATTTATAAATATGTCCTATAAATATGTATTTATATAATTTGTAGTAGTATATGTAGTATAGGTTTGTAGTATATGTTTATGCACATATACAAATATTTAATGAGATACAAAAATGGAAACAGTCCTAAAATATGAATGTCAGTATTTATTGAAAATTAACAAAGACTACTGTGCCTTGCCGTAATGCAGGTAGCTTCAAATGATAAGGTTTTGAAATATGTGGCGTAAATTCATATTATTTATTCAAATATTCTAACTTTTGACCTAAGAAGTACCTGCTATGCTTTGCTTCAATGCAGGTAACCTCAAATGATAAGGTTTTGAAGTATCTGATGTTAATTAATTCATATTCATTTAAATATTTTAACTTTTGGGCATAAAAGGAATCTTTTATATAAGCAAACAAATCATTCTTTATCATTCTTTATGGATAAAAAGGTGAAACCTTTTGAAAACAATTATTCCTTTGAGATATGCATCAATGGGCACATATTTAAAAACTTTCATGTTTTTGCATATAGTCATGTATTTTTTTCTATATATATAAGTGTATGTTACAACGTAGCAAGAAGAAGCCGGTCCAATTATTCTTTGATTCTGCTTTCTAGAGCTACTACTACTCTTCCATAAAAAGTAGAATAAATAATAATTGTCTTTCGAATCGAAAAAATCCGCAATAGTATTCGAAGTCTTACTAACAAGAACGATGCCAATGATATACGTTCCCAAATGGAACCTTTTATCACCTTTAATTTTTTTCTAAAATATCTTTATCTCTGACTCGTGATATGTTACAACATTTTTTCATTTAGTCTCAAAATTCAAAGACAGGCTATCTTACTTCCAGCTCTTTTCAAAGTATCCTTTCTAAAAAACATGAGCTAGGAAATATATGACGAGGGCTACTATATTCTAACACTGAGCTGTTGATAGATAGATTTATTTTTCGCTCATGTTGTTGAAATTTTACACCTTTTGCTGATAGTACAGTAAATGAGGGTTTTAGTAAATGTGTAAATAATATTGTACGTAATTAAAATCATTGAGCCTGAGGGCTAAGTTAAGTGGGAAGTTTTCTCTAATTATTGTTCAGGTTATGGAAATATACAAGAAGTTACAAGTGAAATAATAAAGAAAAAAAATGAAGAATATAGTAGTGTTACTTAGTATTTTAGATTGGAAGTAGATGTTAAAAATTACTCAGAATACTGTTGTGGGAGTAGAATATATTTTAATTGTTTGGGAAAAGATAACTTCCTAGCTGATTTAAGCTGCAAGAGAAGGTTTGACCAAAGGTCAATTGCCGTGAAAGAAATTGCCTGTTTGCCAGTGTTTGTTCGTACTTTTGTTTTATGTAGATTTTGCCTGTTTGTGTTGTATCTAAGCACACTACTGGCATATTTAAACTTGTTATTAAAAATATCTGGTAAGGATCCATTATGCCAGGAGTGCATAAACGTTAAGACGTGCAAGCGGTAGATGTTGGCACCCATCTACTGCTATGCTTCATCCTTATCACGTCTCCCTTTTGCATTGTTGTTATTTTCTTGTGCTTTGCCTATCAACGTTTCTTTTCGGTATTTCTTTGATTTTGTCTAGGTTTTCTTTGATCTTTGTTTGACTATTAGGCTTTAAGAGGTTTGCAGTTGTTGAAATTAGTGATCTTCTTAACCTTTGTCTCATCAACAGCTGAGCTGGAAACTGAGCTGTTTAGGACTTGAGGTGTATTTTGGTAGTTGAGCAATGCTTCATTTATGTCTCTGGAATTAGAGATTAGCCTATTAACTGTTTGAACAGTTCTTTCAAGTTGTCCATTCGATTATGAATAATGTGGAATGAAAGTGGTTCGAGTGAATCCATAGTCCTTCACAAGTGGGTGAATTCATCTGATAAAAATTGTGAACCATCATCACTAATAACTTCATCAGGTATGAGATACTGACTTTGCAAAGTGCTGCTCAAGAACATAAGTTACAGCCTTGCTAGTTTGATTCTCGAGCTTCTCTACTTCTATCCATTTCCAAAAACTATCTACCGTACACAGCGCGTATCGCTGATAGATCAGTAACAATCATTGCCCATGGTCTGCTTGGTGGATCACGTGCCATTAGGGGTTCTTTGGGTTGCTGTCTTATCTTCTTCGCATCTGGAGTCTTATCTTCTAGCTGTGAGGAAAGCCCTGGCCAGAACAGTTTATTTCTTGTATTTTTTTTGCACTTAGCTGTTCAACAATGTCTTTCATGAATCTCATCTAAACATTTCTTTACGTAAAGGTTGAGKTACTATTAGCTTTGGACCTTTAAACACTAGACCATCTATCACTTATAATTCATTTTTGTGCTACCAGAAGGTTCAATATTTGCTGAGAGATTTGCCTTGTATCTTTCCATTACTCTATCTATTAAGGCTTGTATAACTGTATCACCTGTTGATGTTAGTTGAAACTCGTCGATAAGTTGAAACTCAAAGATTAGACATACTTTCTATACAAGTTTGTCTTTGATTTCAGGACGTTATGAACTATCTAGCAAGTCTTTGAACATCTCTTTCCTTGACTTTTATCCTACTTTCGGGTCATACATCTGTAGACTCATCGTCATCTTCTGTAGGCTGGCATAGGTGCTTGATGTAAATTCTTGCTTAAAATGGAGCTTGTGTACACTATAGCAAGAATTTTTTTATTCATTTAGGCATAGTTCCTTTGTGCTGTGGTCAATGCTCGAGAAGCATATGCAATTGGCTTATCCTTTTGTAACAATGCTACTCCTAGCCCATCCAAATGCCATTGCATCTGTTTCTCTAGTTACTGCCTTAGAGGAGCACTTTCCTTTGCTAATTTGTGTAGAAACTTTCCTAGGCATTGAACTACTAGACCCAGAAATGTTCTAGGATTGAAGGATGTTCTTTGATGCTGTCAGATGCAGACATCTCTTGTATGGCTCTGGCTTTCACTGGATCTGGTTCTAGGCCCTCAATTTTCAATAAGTGGCCTATATAAGGAATTTCCTTTTTTTCTGATCTGACATTTCTTTTTGTTGAGCTTGAGGTTTTGCTCTACGACTCTATCAAGGACTTTCTCATCCTGGCATCATGTTCCTTTATCGTGCTGCCCCACACCAGAATGTCATCAATTATTTTTGCAGTGCCTGGTAGACTTTAAATCATGTGCGACATGTTTTTTGAAACGTAACACTTATGGGGCTGACTTCATAAAGGTAATCGCTTAAATCTTTATCACCAAAAGGGAGCATTAAACATATGGCTCTAGAGGGACGCGTATTTTTTTTCGTTTCACTACGGTTACCATACTGTTGATCCAAGCTTTAGGTAAGTTTGTTTCTGTATCACTCCTTTTTTCAGCCGGTCCAATTATTCGTTGATTTTGTCTCTTAGAGCTACTGGTACTCCTCCATAAAAAGTAGAATTATAATAACTGACTTTCAAATCGAAAAAATCCGGAATAGTATTCGAAATTTTACTAACAAGAACGATACCAATGATATACCGATTAAACCGTTTATCACCTTTTATTCTGAAATATCTTTAGCGCTGACTCGTGATTTCATTACATTTTTGCATTCAGTCACTAAATTTAAAGACGAGCGATCTTACTCAACAAACGTGAGCTAGGAAATAGAGGAAGAGTGCTACTCTATTCCAATACTGAGCCTCTCCGTAATTTTTACCTGTTCTAAGGTTTCGCTTCCATTCGAACGTCTATCGATGCCAGCATTTCTGTTATTTGGTTCCTGCTGAATAAAGTGAATAAACTATGTGAGCTACAATCTTTTTTTTCCTTTCTCACTCGTGAAGCAAATTAGTTCAATATGGATAGCAATGACATAGATCGGGGAACTGATAGTGCTCCAAGTATTTGTCAAGGGAGGCATTTTGTTCAGCAAATTGTTAACTAAATACTTCAATAACGAATCAATTGACATAGACTGGATTGTCAACCATAAAAATTTGCTCTTTCTTTACCATTTTTGGTCGCCTGTTAATGCTAAAATTTCGTTTAAGACTCGAACTTGTCGTATAGCATAAACCAATATGGCGGATTTGGCGGATCAGGTCGGGGTCCTAGTGGTAACATTTCCAGTCCTTTTTCGGCCAAAACCAAGATGGCTGACTAGTTGGGATGTTTTCACTCGATTTACTGTAAATTTGAGCAGTTTTGAACAAGAAATTCGCCTATTTAGTAAAGAACATTATATTCCAATTTCCAAATATGGTAAGTACATTCCTTATATGGTAAAAGTAACGGCTCGAGCGCAACTTTTCTATGTGGAAAGTTTGATATGATCAGATTGCGAATTCCGTTTGCTGAAAAAGGATCAATGCCAATATGCCAATGGAGCTTTGCACGCCTCGAGAAGCAGGGGAAAAAAACAAGATGGCATCTGGATCGGTAATAATCAAGACCATAACACATATAAGAATAGCACGTAAATACAACACATTTCTAAATCAAAAAATGGTTTATTGTTATTAAAAATATTACTATACGTACATACAAGTTACTACTAAATAGCAATTTGAGCTATTATCAAGTTTTCAATCATTTTCGAAACAAAAAACTTTGTAAGGTTAACTTTGGCTATACGAATTACGAATGTAAAATAAAAAGAAAAGAAGGAAAGAAAAATCTTGTAAATAGTTATATGGAGGTGGACGGCATTAATGTATGGCTCACTCTTCTATCGGTAATAAAGTTTAAAAAAAATAAAAAATCAATCAATATGGCGGATGGCTTAATGTCACGTAATGATCGAATTAAAAACACATTTTTGATCCTTTTGATTTTTTCTGCTTTTATTGTTGTTGTTTTAGTTTTTGTTTAAAAACCTATTGAATGGGGAATATTTTAAGCATAGTGTAGTTGTACTTGCTGAACGTTTAGGGTTACAGCAGTTACAGCACCCACCTGCTCCTTATTGGAACTGGAGATTGGCAATGTTATTAAAAGTCTTAAGAAAATCAAGGCTAATAAAGCAGCTGGTCTCAATGGGATATTAATTGCTATAATCTCATTATCTGGTCTTGGTGAGTGYCTTTATAAGTAGTTTTGAAACAAGAACTGTCCCTTACACATGGAAGTGAGCAAAAGTTACTCCCATCTTTAAGAAAGGAACTAGAACAGACTAATTATAATGCTAATTATATACCTATTTCCTCATTGAGTATCCCAAGTTAATAACTATATAATTGATGAGTTCTTGAATGAGTCCTCTCTGAAAAGTCCATCACAGTGGGGCTTTACAAGAACTTTATCTGCAGAAGGTATGTTGTTAACGATGACACATAGATGGAAAATGGATTTGGATAAAGGAATGTTAGTTGGAGCCATATTCGTGGATTTTAGGAAGGCTTTCGATAGTATTTCACATAATATTCTATCACTCAAGCTTTAGGCTGTTGGATTAACTGGTAACCTTCATGAATGGCTGATGCATTATTTGAAAGGCAGATATCACTGTACAGTTATAAATGGCTGTACCTCTGATTTGGAAACAGTCCAATACGGAATTCCCCAAGGATCACTCCTTGGTCCAAGATTATATACAATCTACGTCAATGACCTACCTGATGCTATTACACTTGGGAATGTCTATATGTATGCAGATGATACTACTATAAACTGCGTGAGGAAGACCTTTGACCAAGTCTGTTTGCAATTAAACAAAATACTTGAGCAATTACAACTCTGGAGTATAAATAACAGACTTAGTATCCATCCTATCAAGTCTGAAGTCATGATTCTCAGCAAAACACAMTTCACTGGCCCAGCTCCACCAATTTATTTTGGAAATAAATATATCAATGTTGTGGATCATACTACTTGTTTGGGCTTAGTGATTGATAATAGACTGACATGGTCAATGCATGTAGACCATGTGAAGAACTCTTTCACACAGAAGGTTGGGGCATTGAGTAGAATGAAGAAGCTTCCTGTTAAAGTATTAGAAGAGATCTATTTTAAGACCATTATTCCAGCAGTAACCTATGGTATAGTGCTGTGGGGTAATTGCAGTTCTGCAATTATGGAAACGTTAGATCCCATTCATGCAAGAGCAGCACGAATCATTCATCACCAAGAAAACCTTCAAAAATTAAACTGGTTACCAATCTCTTACATCTACAAAAGACGCCTTCTCCTTTT